ATTCACTATGATTGTTCTGCCTTAAAATGTGAACTAGACTTTCACTGGAATAATTTTCCCACGATACTATAGCTTTTTTCATTCTCATTTTGAAGGTGTTTCTATGTTTACTTTAAAATATATTGTTTCATGATCAGAGATCTGATGCATTGCCATTCTTTTGCAAGAAATATTGTTACTATTTGTAAATAGCAGGTCTATCATTGTTTCAGCATCTTCTGTTTTTCTGGTGTAGACGTCTATTTTTTGACCCCTTGAAAAAGATTGAAATAACTCTAGTAGCTGTTTGCTGTAGGTTGTTGTTTTAAATAGGTTAGTATTGAAATCGCCAATAATTACAGTGTTCTCATCTGAGTAGTTGCTATTCATAACTTCGCTAAGATAAGTAATAAAATCCGCATCACTAGAGTTTGGTGAATGATATATTACACCTACTTGATATTTAGGAGTAATATTTCCAATTTCTAAAAGTAAAAACCAAATATCTTTATCACGTGCGTAATTAATTTTTGTTTTGTGTTTAATAGAATTGCTTAGGTATATTAAAACCCCGCCTGTATGTCTGCTATGCGAATTGCATCTAACAATATTGTATGTATCTATTTGTAATTCTTGGTTTGCTATATCTTCAGTTACACAAGTCTCTGACAGCAATATTAGATGTGGCACACAAGTTTAGATTACTCTTTCCAATTCACCCTTATTTGCTGTAATACTGTTTATATTTAAATAAATACTACTCAGTTCATCTAACGTTCGTTGCTAGACTCTGGTTTTATTTTTTGCATGGGCATATTTTTTAAATGCTGGACAGTCCAAGCTAAATGCATAATGGTTGACACTTCCGTCAATCACCTTTTTCTGTACCAGTTCACAGCAGTTTACGCACCGTATGATCTCAGAATTGCAATCCTTCACATCATGGTTACCCGCGCATTTACTACATGCTTTTATAAAGCAATATTATAAAGATTGTACTTATATTTATTAAGGTATGATAACTCACTATCATACTATTTGTTCATGAGCTTAACACTTATTTCCTTCGTACACGTTAGGGAACTCATTGCATGAGACAAAATATCTGTTAAGAATTTGGCATTTTCATCGACATTCAACCTAGAAAATTCACTATGATTGTTCTGCCTTAAAATGTGAACTAGATTTTCACTGGAATAATTTTCCCACGATACTATAGCTTTTTTCATTCTCATTTTGAAGGTGTTTCTATGTTTACTTTAAAATATATTGTTTCATGATCAGAGATCTGATGCATTGCCATTCTTTTGCAAGAAATATTGTTACTATTTGTAAATAGCAGGTCTATCATTGTTTCAGCATCTTCTGTTTTTCTGGTGTAGACGTCTATTTTTTGACCCCTTGAAAAAGATTGAAATAACTCTAGTAGCTGTTTGCTGTAGGTTGTTGTTTTAAATAGGTTAGTATTGAAATCGCCAATAATTACAGTGTTCTCATCTGAGTAGTTGCTATTCATAACTTCGCTAAGATAAGTAATAAAATCCGCATCACTAGAGTTTGGTGAATGATATATTACACCTACTTGATATTTAGGAGTAATATTTCCAATTTCTAAAAGTAAAAACCAAATATCTTTATCACGTGCGTAATTAATTTTTGTTTTGTGTTTAATAG